CTCTAAGAAAAATGAAATTTTATTCTCTTTAAGCTATCTTTTTTTCCAACTTTAAAATATATTTAATAAATAATATATTTATAAAAAAATTAATTTTATAATATTATAATTTTTTATTTAAATAATTTTTTATTTTTGAATAATTTTTATAATATATTTTTAATTATAATAATGTATATTTTTTTATTGTTACTTAGGATAATATATTTTTTATTTGAAATAAATATTATAATAATATATTTTATGAGTAGAAGTGGAATATTAAAAAAATTATAAGGGTATAATGGTCCAAAAATTTGGCTTCCCTCCAAAAACCCCCAATTTGGAAGGGAGCTAAAATGGGAAGGGGGAGGGGAGGGGAGGGGACATTTTACCTCTTCTCCCCTCTAAAATTTTTAACCAAATGAGGGGAGGGGCTCCTCTCGCCTCCCCTCCCCTCGCCTCTCCTCCTCTCGAACCAAACAAACCCTTAGTAAACAACCATCTGCTGCATCTTCAGGCCTTTCATGGTTGTTCCCCTAGTCTCCCACCTCTATTTTTCACTGCTTATCGTCATCCTCCTCTTCTTATGTCAGGAGTTTGATTCCTTACAACATTTGAGGTGGCAGCATATAATAATAGTATCAGTATCCCTAAAACTATACTACCTCTAGTCTTAATTATAAAAACTAGTTGACTAATTTGAAGAGATTAATGAAATAAGTTGAGTTAGTTATTTGTAATAAATATGTGTTGTTTTTTTCTCTAAAATATCCTTACTAATCAAGTGTGTTGGTTAAAACTATCATTATTAGAAGGACTATATTGGGAAAATATATATAAATATGAGAGACAAAATAGATTAAAATCTTATATTTAGGATCAAAATACAAGTCAAATGAAGTTTTATATTAAGGACCTGGAGGTAGGAACATCATACATAGCAAGGGAAAACTAGAAAAAAGTGAAGAGCACAATATTATTATTGTTTCCCGTTAAAATATTTGCGGAAAGTGTGGAACCCAGATCAAGAATATGTAAGTGTCTATGTCGGTAATGATTTAAAACTGAACCCAGATCGAGATGGTTGTTCACTAAGGGTGGGAGTCGACAGAGGAGAAAGAAGCCAAGCCCAAGGTTGAAGACAATGCCAATGTTTCGTGGGACCCACTGAGCCATCACCATATGCACGACTTGGCGTAATGTGGGCTTTTAGATAATTTAAACGGACAGGATTCTAGGTTTCTGAGGGCCGCTGAGGAAATGGCTTCTGAGAGGATCCGGTTCCATAAAAATTGAGACGCGGTTTCTTCCTCCCTCTCGCCCCTTCCTCTCTCCTTCATTTGCTCTTTCTCTAAAACTAAAAAAATTCATTCCTCTTCCATCATTCACCATTGCTCTGAAGCTAAAAACAGGTTCATTCACCCACCTTCATATTTAATTGCCTTGCCATCCCGCGCCTTCTTCGTCTCCATCGCCGCCACCCATCACATTGCTATGTTTGTATGCTCATTTACGTTGTTCCAATGAGCTCAGATTTTTGGCATATTCCAATCAACAAAGATTATATAGTCCCTCAATGATTTAAGAGATAGAAAGGTGTGTTTTGATGGATACATTCAATGACAACTGTGGCTCCATCATTCTTCTTCCTTGCCTTACAAGCAATGCAATAAGCACCTGCAGGATTAAGTTTATTAGAAGAACAGTCAATAAATTTATACACTAAAAAGAATTGAATCAATGAGGATGCAGCGTCCAAATTAGGAACCAATCAACGTTTTAATACCTAAGCCTTCTTCCTCTTCTACAACGAACGATTCAAATTGAAAAGAATGTCACCGCTTCTCATAGCGTTCACCGCTATAGCAGAGACTCTACCTCTATTTTGAAGGATGTTTTTACTTTTTTTAGGGGAACATAAAAAAAAAATAGATGTAATAAGTACCTTATATTTTCCTTCTATTTCAAACAAACGAAAAAAGTCCAACTTTTTTTGCCTATTCAAAAGTAGACATAAAAAGCATTGCTTTTCATGTTGTTTTTCACAGAAACAAAAGTGAAAATACTACTTTTCATGTCTGTTATTATAGAAACACAATGGTATTCAAATAGGCCCGTTCAAGTTGGCCCATCCCGGTCCTAGTCATGTTAGGTCGGGAGGGGACAAAAAATAAGATCGGGACGGGACAAGCTGATGCTTGTGTTCTACAAGTCTTTTAGCTATCTCCTCATGCTTAAACTTCATCAACTGCTCTCACCACCAGTCCTCGTAGCTGTCACAAGAGCTTGACACTGCCGCACAAGAGAGGATCAGGTGGGTTCAGAAAAACTACGTGAGATTCACCCAAGGCCTTCCACTAGAATGCAAAAATCCTAAAAGAAAATAGAGCAAACCATGTAATAGATAAGGATAGGGGGGGGGGGAGGCAAAAATAAAAGCATAATTGACAAGCATAAAGGAAAATCACTAGAAATATGCAGCTTTCTTGTGAAAGTAAATAGAGTAATTCTCAAAGCTTCTCAATATCATGATATAAAGACATACTAGCTAGTGCATTTCTTGCCACTGCAGACCGTGATCATGATGATTATCTAGTAGGATATATCACAATTATAAAAGCATATATGAAATTTCAGACTTCAGCTTATTTATATTTTTCATTTAATTGGATTTTTCACAAGTGAGTTTTCTTCTTTTCTTTCTTTCTTTCTTTTTTTTTTTTTTTTTTTGGTTTCTTGCCGGCACATTCTCTTAATTGACATAATAAATTATAATAGTGGCTAAAATTCGTAAAATTTCAGGGAGTAATGCCCGCGTATCGACCCTCCAATTCAATGTGGAGTTACCCAAAGATGATCTTCGGTTGTTGCACTCCAAGTAGCATTCCTCCCAACACTCAACAGAATCGTCGTCGCCAATCTGGTACTCCTCTGTTTTCCCAAGTTATCGCCACCCCCTTCCGATTCCCCCATTCACTGAACGCTCCATACCATCAAAGCCACGTTGAGGCAACAGTGTGTACGCGTCGAGGGAGAGAGATTGAGGGAAGTGTGCATGAGCAGAGGGAGAGAGCAGAGCGCGCCAGCTGGGGTGAAGGCATAAATATGAAACTAAAGAAAATAAAATAAAAACTAAAATATACATTTGATCTTTGAGTTTTTAATCTGATCCCTTAACTTTAAAAAACATATTTTTAATCTTTTAATCCTGAAACTATTAGTTTAAATGATATTTTTTTATAACAATTATGATTATTTTAAAAATTAAATTTAATTTGTCAGCATTTGAGAATATTTTATTAATATTTAACATCTCAGCATCATGATTTTTTGTTAACAATTTTAAAGTTAAAGGACTAAAAGTATGCTTTTTAAAGTTAAGTAAAAGTATGTTTCTTAAAGTTAAGAGGTCAAATTAAAATCTTGTATAAAATTAAAGAACTAAATGTAGACTTTAGGTTAAAATAAAATAAGTTATAAAACTTGTGAAGGATATTTTCGTCTATTTTATAAAAACAGAGAAAAACTTTTCTACACTACTATGAATGATATTATTAATACAGCCACACAGGTGGGATATTATGAAACAAAAATAGTAATAATAGAACTCGCATAGACAAGGAATGAAATAGAAAATAGGGAGAATTATAATGAGATTCAAGAAAAAATAATAATTATTAATAAGTTTCATTGATAAATTGTCATTTTTTGGCATAGAACTTCTCAGCACAGATTGCTCTGCTTTTAGTAATTATATTCTCTATTTGACACTTCATAGCAATTCTCTCCAGAAAATATCAGAAATTTGGGATGTTAAAACTTTCAGTCTCCTTTATTTTTGGGCCTAGTTATATTTCCTTGCATTATTGGATGTAATAGTCAATATAATGTCTGTCATCCGTGCACGTAATGGTCAATATAATGTTAGCGTGATATTTGTATCAGTATAGTTTGATTTCCACAAGCCTTGAGATTGTATTTTAGCATTGGTCGAACCACTATCGTGACACCCACATATACAAATGTTGGATCACTAATTTGTACCTAGGAAAATGGAGTGAAGGAGAATGGAGAAAAAAATTTAATAGGTTTGATTTGAAAAATTAGAAAAGGAGGGTTCAAAAATCTCAAGTAAGATAAGATTTAACATAAAAAGAGTAAAAAAAAAATTGATCACAAACTTTTAACCCTACTTTTTTACTTTTCAAATCAAACCATTAAAATTTCCCTCCCATCTATTCTCCACTTTATACTTCAAAGTATTCTCTCACTAGTCCTTGTCTTTTTATATTCTTTTACTGACCAAATTATTAAGTGTTAAGGATACAATGATTTTTCTTTTCCTCCTAATTTTAATAGTAATATTGTAAATTGTGGGTGGAAGTTTTATGGTTTGACTTTTACATTCTTTTATTATTAAGTATAGAAATGGAATCTCTAGAGTCCTTTTTTTTTTTTGGGCAATTCAACATATAACAACTTTGTTTTATTAAGAAGGATGGAAATGTTAAAAATATCATATAATAAATAATAATAACTAGAGCGAGTACTTTGCAGTATCCAAGTTTATGTAGAAGAGTAATTTTTACTTTGACAAGGCCTCTTATTTTTCAGGGTATCATCATATGATACTTATTATCACGCGGTTTCCAATTCTTTTAATAGGTGTGCAAGTATTTAGAGATTGGAGAGTTTGTAATTGATCAACACTTGAGATTTTTGGAAAATGCTATATATGGGCAAACCTGAATATGTTTTAGGCAGTGTGTGTGTAGAAAATTGTCTTTAATTTATAATATATCCTCAAAACTAGTCTATAAATTAAACTAAAGAAGCGAAAATTTATGGGAAAAAACGCTGTGTAAATATTTTTTAAGCCACGTTTGCTCCCTCTATACTGTATATATATGATGTTGCAAGTGATGGCAGTATGTATATACTCCTCCAAAACTAAATGTAAAACCTATTTTGCAAGAGGACTCAAACCTCCAAATCGTCGATCTCTGACCACTTCTGTCTATGGGCAAAGAGGTGCCCACGTTCATAATATACATCTCACATCGACTACTACTCTCGTCTGCATATTGTCTACATACATATACATATATGTGTATTGCACTGTGTATGTGTAACACTTGGGGGAGAAGAGCACATACATGAAATACGTTGAAGACAGACTAACAAATAAAATTCCATCTACAATGACTCAGAGAATCTGGGACAACTCAATCCTTCTTTCTTGACCAATAATAAAGCGTTGCTCAAAAAAATTTTTGTCCTTCTCTTGAGACTCATATATACTATAAAAAGGCCGAAGAAAAAGGAAAACACAATAAAGAGAGTGACAATACCAAAACCTTTAGAAACACCCAGGACAACATATATGCCTGTCCCAAATGCTATGATCATAAATGCCATTGCCCCCATGGTTAAAAACCCACAAGTACCCAGCAGGAATTCATGAAGTTCCTCGTCCACCTCATCCTCAACTTCTGGAATTGTTGATATAAAAAATAGGAAAAAAACAGTAGAAATAGAGAGCATGAATGAGAGAGAATCTGTAACAACAAATGCGATGAAAGCTGCATTATACTTTAATATGGGAGAGCCCTTATTTTCCCCTTCTTGAATCAGTCCTCCAGGCAATGTAAATCCTGCAGTAAATGTCACCGTTGCAATTAAAGTTGCCACTACAGCGTAGGCTGTTGTTGTTCTAGCTAAAAGATCTTGACTACTTGTCTTGTATTGTTTCTCCTTTCCACCAACAGCTCTCTTCTCTTGTTTCTTCTCTTTAAGATGCTTATCCAGAACTCGTCCTCCTAACTTTGCTCCAATAGTTTTCAATTTCCTTAACATTGAATTCTGCACCGCATAACACATATTAAATTGGATTCAGCCTATAAATGCTAAATAAATAAGTTGCATTTAGCCATACTTATATGATCAATACAATTACATAGATTCAAAAAACCAAATCAAACTAGTGGAAGACTTCTTAAAGATGTTACGGTCTTGACTAAAACAACATAAAATCAAGGTCTCATAACTTACCAGGCTTGAAAAGCGATGTTTTAAACTTATACGTGTGGGTATTAAGGCTATATAAAAGGGCTCTTCATTTAGAGTGTGATAGCTAAGAACTCAGATGGAACAAAACTAATGCACAGCATAGTAATTTTCTTTTATTCTATCAATCTCTACTCTTATTTTAAGTTACATAGTTCATACCATGATATTGAGGAAAAGTCGATGCGTGCATGCAAATGCTCAGAATATCAACATAAATGTAGTCAATGAATTTATATATTGTGTGTTTTGTTACCTCAGAAGCTGAATCTGGAGGCACAACATCAACAGCAATATCGAGAGCAGTTTGACCATATTTATTAAATGCCAGTTTGTCCACTTTTGGGAACTGAAACATGGTTGGTAACCGTGGATCTAAAAGAGGATGATAAGAATCATAGTCTTTCTTCCATTCTGGAGCTCGATGGGCAAGGAGGTGAAGTGGTGTGTTCCCATCGTCATCTTTCTCATTGCACAAGTTTCTTATTAGTGGTGCAACTTCAAAGATATGTTCCAGCAATGTAAATAGGAAACAACTTTCTCCCATCGCAGTGTAGTGAAGAGCATTTGAGCCCCGTTCATCCACCAATTCATAACAATCGGGACAATATTTTAATATTGTTTTCATCGTATCTGCATTTATAAGTGCTGCAAAGTGAAGAGCCGTCCTTCCTTTGTTATCTCTCATGTATGCCGTGCTGCTATCTTTGCTTACCAACTCCTCTATCACATCTGAATCTACACAAAGTGCTGCCAAGTGAAGTGGAACCCAACCATTCTCATCTGCTTGTTTTGCTGCTGATAAGTTTCTTGTCACCAACTTCCGCACTACTCCTGTCATAGGTAACATCAAATTAAACAACAATCCATTTTATCTAAAAATAATTTGCTACTTTCCCACATGATCACTCTTGAAATTCAGAATGTTAATTAAAATTGTAACTATCATAATTTTATCAAAATGATTGTTATTTCAAAGAGCTTATATGAATTTGTTATTTCATTTTTTTTAAAAAAAAGTTACTTTAAGCATGAAACTATGGAAGTTAATTGTTGTTGTTTTATTCCTAGAAAATTAGATATCCAAATGAAAGATAAATTGTTATAAATGATAAATTACAAACTCATACAATAAAATACCTGCGTCACCATGAAGGACTGCAGCATGCAAAGCGGTTCTGCCATTGGGGCCATTATATTGTGGTGAAATACTGTTATCCAATATTGTATCTACCACATTCCAATATTGTTTCTCAACAGCAATATAAAGTGGAGTTTCACCATCAACATTTTTACCAAAATATGAATGATCTAGTTCTTCCTTTAATAAGACACCCACCACTTCATTGTGACCATAACGAGCTGCTTCATGCAAGGCTGTGTCATTCTTATCATTTACTGCTCTTATAAGTCTTTTCTCGGCTCCAACTTCATAGATATGAGGAAGTTTAGCATAATCAATTAATTTCTTCACTGTTTTATGATGTCCATACCTTGCTGCTATATGAAGTACGGTATCACCCTTGACATTAGTCTTTAAAAGAAGTGCAGGACACATACCTAAAACCTCTTCCACAAATGTCTCTTTCACAGATGTCTCTAAAACACTGTCGGTATAGTTTGTGAGGTGTATATGAAGGATTGTATTTTTATTTGGGGTTAGTATTGACTCAATTTGCTCACCCTTCCCTTCAAAGGCATCAGTGTTACCTTTCACTGCAGCGTTGTAAAACTCAGGTTCCATGCCTGCAATTGTGATAATGGTACAGTTGTTGAGATCAGAAAAAGGTTCAACTGATGTGATTTTGGTGGCTTCTGTCTTGCTGGAGGTAGCACTATCGGTTGTTATCTCCATCCAATTCCTTTCTCAACCTAAACTGTTTAGGAAATCCATCGGAAACAAAAACTTTGAATTTGTGACTGCCACAGCACCGCAGTTTTTTTAACTTAAAATAGTGTCCAAATGTTTCAACAAGAACAAAAATAAGGGCAAGAACAAGGACAAAGAGAAATAATGCAATCTTCTAAGCAATATCAACATATTGCAAGACAGAAAGCGACATGAAACCGAAACACAATGAGAGAATATTTTGCGTCGATGTAATATATGTACCTCCAAAATAGCCGTTGAGGAAGCCCTGTAAAATGTTCAAACAGTAACTCTTGGACGCTACTTCTTCAGACAAATTTGTGGAGGTAGTGTGTGAGAGAGAGAAAGCAGATGAATAAGAAAGAGTGAAAGCGTATGGAGTGGTTGAAGGAAGGTGTATGATTGAAGAGGATATATAAAGAGATAGACCATGAGCAAGTGGAATCAAATAGAGTCTCCTGCATTGAATCCAGCACGGTGCCAGCTCATGTATACAACTAGGCAATTATTTCGAAAACAAAATTCTGACTTTTAAGCACTAAAAGACATATATGGTAATGTACAATGCTGACCACAAAACTAAAAGATTTCCTTCGTTTTTAATTTGGGCATATTGGCCCCGTGTCCGCATGGCATGAACCTACTATAGGGTCCCTTAACCTGTATGACTAAGAATAGTACGGCCTAGGAGAGAGCGCTTTTGTGTGGTGGATGTTTGAGAAAAAGCACAAGCCTACGATCAATGCATTTGAAGTTAAGGCCAGATATAATACAGTTAAAAAAGGGGCCAAATAATACAGTATGATGGGATTTAAATTTTATTTTAGTGCATTGACTCAAAGCACTTTGAAGAGAACTGGCAGAGGTAATTGATCTATATACATGAACGACATGAGACCACCCTGCTTCAGTCGAATTCAAATTGTGTAAGCCATTAACACCAAGACATACAGCTTCGAGAGTTGTTTTTAATTAGCATTGAAGGGATTTTCTCGGGGAAGCCAAATTTTCTCCGAGAAATAACTTTGCAGGATATAAGTTTTCACCTCGAACCCTTTCTCCATAATCCCTTTATAAGTTCAGGATTCAGAACATCTTTGCCAGTGATGCAAGCACGGAACATCAGTTCTTCCTGGGAGATATGCAGCTGTAAAAACAGAGTCACAAATTAGTTTACTGTAATCACCCTTTCAATATGTTCGCAGACAAAAGCCACTAGAACAATCTCGTTCTAATGTTAATTATCATCACTATGCTGCTCTCTAGTACTACACAAAAGAAACCAATACTTTTGCAGGAGTGAAACAAAACCTGTTTGGTAGTTGGTATTGAGGGGTTGGGGTTGGGTTTGGGATTGACTAATCCCACGTTTTTATGTCTGGTATGGAATAACAAGTGATCCAACCCAATCTCATCCGTATTAGGAAATAAAATCCCTCCCCCTGGTATTGTAATTGTCATCCTGGGATTTTTTTTTTTTTTTTAAAACCAAAATGTCCTCTCCCTGTTGAGCGTCTTCCTCATCGGCCTTTATGGTCATCTCCTCAGTCTCTAGTCATTGCTTTCTACTCCATCCCCAGCCCTTACCTTCTCCCATTCAAGTTCACCAGATCTATATCATGGAGTCCTTCTCCTTAACCCATCTCCTCAATGTCGTCTTCCTGGCCCTCTCTAATTTCTCCCTCCTCCAGTGTCGTCATTGTCTCCCTCGCCCAGCCACCTTTTACGTCTCTATCGCCCAGATACTTCGCTGCATCAATGTCAGAAAGAAGAAGAAATAAGACTAGTATTCTAGTAACAACCAGAGAACGCAGAAAGAAATATAGAGCACACAGAAAGAACAAGAACACCCCGAGCAAATTGCGGTCATGAAGAATTCAAACTTCTTTTTTTGGGACTGAAATACGAAGAATTCAAACTTGAAATTGAGAGAATCCGTCTTCACTATTGAGATTTACAGAAAGAGAGAATGACAAATATGGGCTGCAAGGAAAGAACAAAAGGCACTGACCCAAAAAAATTAAAAAACGAAGGAAAGAACAAAAGGCAAGGTTTGCAAGGAGAGAGAAGCGGACGGCGAGAGTGATTGCTAGAATCTCAACGAATGGAATTAGGGTCAGGGTATCATATTGTTTGGAAAAAAGACAGAAAAATGACACTTAAATTTCATAATCTCTAAATGGTCTGCTGAATTTGAGAAATCTCAATTTGATCTCAAGAGACCAAATTAGGATTATCATGTTAAAAGAAAAGACCAAACTGCCTTTTATTTATTTATTGTTTCTAAAATACCAAAGCTCCCATTAACCGGCCGGTCACCGGAGCTCCGGCAACAGGCTGACAATTGGTCACCGGAGTTCCGGCTGTCGGAAATAATTTTTTTGAAAATTTTTACAATTTCAGTCTAACGGTTAACAACATTTGTAATGCCATTAACAAGTATAGCAATTAACAACAGGTTTTCTGGAAAATGCAATAAACTCCAGTGACCGGAAACAATTTTTTTAAAAATTTTTACAACTTCAATATAATGGTTAACAACTTTAGTATAGCAGTTAACAACAGATTTTCTGATAAATTCAACAAGCTTTGGCGGTCGGAAACAATTTTTTTGAAAATTTTTACAACTTCAATATAACGGTTAACAACTTTTGTGATGCTATTAACAACTTCAGTATAGTAGTTAACAATAGATTTTTCAAAAAATTCAACAATTGGTCGTCAGAGCTCTAGCAGCCGAAAACAATTTTTTTGAAAAATTTTACAACTTCCGTATAACAGTTAACAATTTTTGTAACGCTATTAATAACCTCAGTATAGCAGTTAACAACAGGTTTTCAGTAAAAATGCTACTTTTTGAATTGTTGTTAACTGCTATACTGAGATTATTAATAGTGTTACAAAAGTTATTAACCGTTATACTGAAGTTGTAAAAATTTTCAAAAAAAAAAGGTAATCGTAAAGTTGTACAAATGCTTTTTTTTTTTTAAGTTTTAAGAAAACATGTTGTTAAATGTTATATCGAAGTTGTTAATAGAGTTACAGAACTTGTTAACGGCATCATTGAAGTTGTAAAAATACTACTTTTTGAATTTCTCGAAAAACCTGTTGTTAATAACTTTACAAAAGTTGTTAACCGTTATACCGACATTGTAAAAATTTTCAAAAAAATTGTTTCTAGCTGCCGGAGCTGTTGAATTTTCTGAAAAACCTGTTGTTAATTGCTATACTAAAGTTGTTAATAATGTCACAAAAGTTATTAACCGTTATACTGAAATTGTAAAAATTTTCAAAAAAATTATTTCCTGCCACTGAAACTTGTTGAATTTCCCAGAAAACCTGTTGTTAACTGCTATAATGAAGTTGTTAATAGCGTCACAAAATTGTTAACCGTTATACTAAAGTTGTAAAAAATTTTAAAAAAATTGTTTCCGGCCATCGGAGCTTGTTGAATTTCCCAGAAAACCTGTTGTTAACTACTATATTGAAGTTGCTAATAGTGTTATAAAAGTTGTTAACCGTTATACTGAAGTTGTAAAATTTTTTAAAATAATTGTTTCCGGGCGCCGAAACTTATTGAATTTCCTAGAAAACCTGTTGTTAATTGTTATACTGAAGTTATTAATAGCGTTACAAATGTTATTAACCGTTATACTGAAGTTGCAAAAATTTTCAAAAAAATTATTTCCGATCGCCGGAGCTCCGGTGACCAAGTGTCGGCTGGTCGCCGGAGCTTCAGTTACTGCCGCCGCTAGAGCTCCAACGACCGGCCGACCAGTGGGGGCTTTGGTATTTTAAAAACAATAAATAAATGAAGGGCAGTTTGGTCTTTTCCTTTAACATGATAATCCCAATTTCTCAAATTCAGCAAATCATTTGGGGATTATGAAGTTCAAGTGGCATATTTCTGTGTTTTTCCCATATTGTTTTCACAATTAATAGCTGATTATAAAATGAAAATAATGAACCCGTTCCCTTCAAATTAATCAAATATTAGCCGTACCAAACACAATTTACAACCCCATTCCCAGGGTTTGCATGCCATGCTCAACCAATCTCCAAGCACGGCATGCTCAATACCCTCATTCTTTTTTTTTTCTTTTTAATTTCTATTAATTTTATTTTTTTATTTACTTGAGATTAACTTATATCTAGCACTATAAAATATTTTTTAGTAGTATTCAATGTCTTAAATTAATTAATTTTTAACTCATTCAATATCTTAAAGCTTTTTCCAATAATACCAGTATCCTAAATTAATTATTTCTTAGTGAATCTATTATCCTTAAGTATTTTTTCAGTAGCAACCACCGAGTATCCTAAATTAATTAATTTTTAGTGCAATCGGTATTCTAAAATATTTTTGTAATAACACCTAGTATTCTAAATTAATTTTTCCTAGTTAATCTTTTTTCAGTAATACCTAATATCCTAAATTAATTAATTTTTAGTATATTTAATATCCTCAAGTATTTTTTCAATAATACCAAGTATCCAAAATTCATCATTTTTTAGTAAATCTAGCACTCTGAAGTATTTTTTTAGTAGCATCCACTATCCCAAATTAATTAATTTTTATTAATACATTCAGTATTTGGAAGTATTTTTTTAGTAACATTCAATATTCTAAATTAATTAATTTTTAGTGAATTTAGTATCTAAAATATTTTCTCAATATCATCCAGTATCATAAATTAATTTTTAGAGTATTCAGCATGCTAAAGTATTTTTCTAGTAGCCTAACTGACCAAAAAACATACTCTGATTACACTAAAAATTAATTAATTTAAAATAATTGGTGTTACTAAAAAATACTTTAGAGTGCTGCATATAATTTAACTCAAATAAATAAAAAATAAAAATAAGAAGAAAGGGGTAAGACACAGAATTTTTTCCCTGCAAAACAAGCTTGATTTTATGCCAACCACAAAGAATCAATAGTGCAAAAAGGCAAAGTAAAAAGCTCGAGACAAGCATTCAGAAGCAAGCATTCAAGAAGTAATCCAGCCCAAGATATTCCAATGCACAAAAGCTTCAATGCGTAATCCCAAAATACTACCAAACCACCAAATTCGAGTGGACACCAAAAAAACCAGTGATCTAAAGACTCATATAAAAAAACCACAAAAATAGAGAAAATTGTTATGAAATTTCAAATAAAAAAACATAAACTAAAAAGTCTCAGTGATATCATAGTAGTCTACAATGCTAAGTTTCAAAGTAGGAAATGATAACTACTCACTTGTTATTGAGATTTATTAGTAATTATTTTCTTTTCTTAGAATCTCATTATTATTCTCTTTAAGACCATACTTTTGAATGTGAAAGATCTTGGTTTCAAAACTTGATAGCCACTAAATAATAAAGGGAGAATCGGAAAATAAGCATATTTGTTTTTATTTTTCATTCCCATTTTAGTTTTCTCTCCTCATTTTAGCCTATTTTGTTAAAGACATTTAATATTACCTCCGGTCTTTAATATAAAAGTTGGTTTGACGTTTATTTTGATCATAAATATAAGATCCCAATCTACTTTATTCTCCATATCTATTAATTTTTGTTAAGGTAGTTCTTATAATAATAATAGTTCTAACTAATACATTTGATTGACAAAGATATTTTAGAAAAGACAATACCTATTTATTACAAATAACTAACATAATTAATTCTCT